CACTTCATCATGAGTTCGATCCCCAGCCCTGGAGTTGACCACATGGTGTGGCAGACCTCTCCTGACCCACCCGCTGCTCCCCTCAGCAGTTTATTTCGTCAGTCAACCTGTTCTGCTCCCAACTCTGTCTCTGATGAGTCCTCTCACTGCCCCTGCACCTCTGGCTTATACCCCACTTCTGTATGCATAAATAAATAAATCTTTTTTTAAAAAAAGGAATTTTAAAAGAAATAGAAGTATATCAGTTACATGTGTGCTAATTTTAAAGCTTCTTAATATAATTGTAGTTAGAACTCCAGAAAGAAAAATCAGAGAACATGAAAAAAAGTGACTGAAAACTTTCCAAATTTGATGAAGACAGCTTTTATCAAATTACAGATTCTAAGCACAAAAATAAACAAAGAATTCTAAGGTATATGATTATCAATTTTTTATAATCAGTATTAAGGAGAAAATCTTTAGACAGCAACAGGAAAACAAAAGTAAGGATGTCAACAAATTCTTGTCACTGAATTCCACAAAAGGGAATTCAGTTGAAAAACATCTGTTTATAGCACTGACTGGAAAACCCGTCAACCTGGGATTCTGTGTCCATTCTATAGCTGCTGAAAGTATTTTTCAAGAAGGAAGGTAAATATAGACATTTTAGATGTATAAAAACTGAAAGAATGCACCACTAGTAAGACCTGTAAGAAATGTTCAGGCAGAAGGAAAATGATGTTAGATGGAAAAATGAACCTACACAAAGGAAAGCAGAGCACTAGTAAGCACATGGGTAGTTGTATGGGGTTCTTTTTCTATTACTTAAAATTCTTTAAAAGATAATAATTAGGGGCTCTGCCTGGTGGTGCAGTGGGTTAGGATGCAGCACTGCAAGCTGACCGAAGCTGCTTCAGTGTGAGCTCCATCCCTGCCCAGAGGTGACCCACATGGCACAGCAGACCTCTCCTAGCCTACCCGCTGCTCCCCTCAGGAGTGTACCTCATTGATCTGCCTGTTCTGTTCCATATTCTGTCTCTGGTGAAGCCTCTCACTGCCCCCCTGCACATCTGGCCTGTACCCCAGTTCTGTATGCAAAAATAAAATAAATCTTTAAAGAAAAAAGGTAATAATTAAACAAAAAATAATTATAGTAATCTATAACATAATAGCAACAAAAAACAGTATATTATATGTAGAAATAAAATACATGACAGCAATATCATAAAGACTGGGAAAGGAAAAATGAATAAATACTATTGTAAAGTTCCTATGCTATAGATGAGGTGGTATAATATCCCTTAAAAAGCGTATGATAGGGCCCTCCCTGGTGGCGCAGCGGGTTAAAGCACTGCACTGAGAAGCTAAAGCCACTTCCGCATGAGTTCGATCCCCACCTGCCCCGGAGGAGATCCACATGGTGTGGGCAGACCTCTCCTGACCTGCCCGCTGCTCCCCTCAGCAGTGTACTTTGTCGATCTGCCTGTTCTGTTCCCGACTCTGTCTCTGGTGAAGCCTCTCGCCACCCCTGAGCCTCTGGCCTCTACCCCAGTTCTGTATGTACAAATAAGTAAATCTTAAAAAAAAAAACAAAAGCGTATGATAAAATGAAGCTATATGTTATAAGCCCTAAATCAACCACTAAAATAGACAAAAATAGTTATAAATAGAATTGAATTGAAATATACTTAGTTAATCCAAGAGACAAAAAAAGGGAGTGATCAAAGAATAGTGGGAAAATTAAAGAAAAAACCAAAATGATAGATTAAAACAATTACATTAATGATTACATTACATAATATAGTCTAACAATTCCCACTAAAAAGCAAACATTGTCAAATCAGATCAAATAAACTGGACCCAATTACAACTTTATAATGTTTACGAGAAATATAGTAAATATAATGACACAAACGTTAAAAGTAAAAGGATGCAAAACTATCCTGTACTAACATTAATTAAAAGGAAGTTGAAATTGAGGCACCTACATAAGTAAGCAGAAACAATAAACAAAGAAAGCAAGTCCAGGGGAAGGAAGAGGATCAGTTTTCCAGAGTTTATCATACCAGTAAATTCAAATGTCTGGTTTTCAACAACAAAAAAATCATAACAGCATACAAAGAAACAGGAAAATACAACCCATTTAAAGAGAGCAGTGGGAAGAGGAATCAATAGAAACTGTCCCTGAAAAATATCTGATAGAAGATATGCTATAAAGACTTTAAACATCTGTTTTAAGGATGGTCAGAGACCAAGGGAAGCTGTGGAGAAAGCTACAAAAAAGCTATATAAAATAAAGAGCATACTAATGGAAGTCCCTCCCTATCAATAACTCCTTTAAATATAAATGGATTAAGCTTACCATTCAAAACACAGTCCATATATATATACACACACACACACGCATATGTGTGTGTGTGTATATATGTATATGTATGTATGTATGTATGTATGTATATGGACAAAATGGACGTAACAATAAAGCAATCAAAAATCTAAAAAAGAATCAGAAAGAAAATCTTGACTTGAAAAGTACAATAAATGAAATGAAAAATTTACTTATCAGTATATTAAAGGGATTCAAAGGCAAATATGAATGGGACAAGAAAATAGTCAGCAAAATTGGAGATAGGACAGTGGAAATTATTGAGTTTGAGAAACAGAAGAAAAATATTAAAGGAAAATGAACAAAGTCTAAGGGATATGTGACATGCCATCAAGCCAAACAATGTAAG